TATTTATTATTTATTATTTATTATTTATTATTTATTATTTATTATTTATTATTTATTATTTACTATTTATTATTTACTATTTATTATTTATTATTTATTATTTATTATTTATCACTTATTATTTATTATTCTAGTCAATCGATTGGCTGCAATCTAGGGGGCTACAAAGTTGTGTGTTATAAAACTCAAACAAAATCAGGGTTTAACCACAAATTTCTATTCAAGTTATAATAACCGAGCTGGGAACTAGATACTGGGTATTTGGCTGGTAATTGAAGTCCCAGCGCAGCTGATGTAAAAATAATTTTCGGTACACGCCAGACATAAGCCCGAAGCTGTTGCTTTGCCAACGACTTCGTAGTTTACTTCAAGTGCGGCGGGGCCAATGAAGATATTATAGAGATATTATTATTTTACGGCCACGAGGAGGTGGCGCTGGGACTAAGATGCTCTCTTGTACTTGTTTGCTGCCTGGGCTGGCCGCTTTCGCAATTTAACTAAAAGCTCAATCAATCATCTCACATAGACACGGCGCCTCCATGGCAATGCTTAATTTCTGCTTTAGTTCCCTCTACCTCTGCCCAGCTCTCTCCCTTGCTATCTGTCTTTCGCACAGCTGACGCTGCCTTTGTCAATGTTGTCATAGAGTTTCGCTTGGACCAAGGACCGCTGCGCCTGAAGAAGTTTTAAGCCGCTTTGCAAGGCGCTTTTTGAAGTTTATCTGCTCGGTTGGCAAGTTTGGCCATGCGACAAAAAAGGCCCCGTGGCATTACCTGGCCAAAATACGCGCACGCGTCTGTGTGTGTTTGCTTGTATGGGTTTGTCTTGCATGCATTTTAGGCAACCGCTAGCAAACATATTTGCTTAGCTGCAAAAGGGTTGATTATTAGGCACCAATGCTTCTCGGAACTGAAAATTGCTGCGGCTAATGCGCCCAAAGGCGGCTTAGCGATTAAGTCTGCAATGTGACGAGGCCTTAAAGTAATTGCTCGAAAATGAGCCCAGCTTTTGATGTACACGTTGTGCAATTAAAATGGGGGAAAAGCCTTTAAGATGGCTATATAATAAAGAGAACTGTAAAAGTATAAACGACTGGTCGTTCCCTACAAAGGCAACAATATAATAAATCTACCAACAAATAAATAAATAGAAATTTAAAACACCAACTCTCCAAGTATCTTGTCTACCTCTATCTCTAATACACGCACACACTAACCTGTTTGTTACATACCTTATGCCCCAACAAATACGCCCAACTCAACCAGAAGGTGGCTAGAGTTAATAGCACAAAAAACTATCCTACATAAAATTACAGCTCGCGGCTGATACTGAGTCGCACCCTTATGCCCACAGACGACGACAATGATGATGATGAGCGACAGAGCAAAAAAAAAAAATATACACTATAAATATATATATAGAAAACAAAAAAAATTGTAGTGAATGCAGGCAACAACAACAATAAGAATAAGAATATAATTATGTCTGCTTTTTCGCAATTATTTCAATTATAAACACAAGCTGTTGCATTTGGCAGTGTGCCACAGCAGCAGCAACAACAACGACAACAACAAACAATGAAACATTGCCGTCGGGCAAACCGTGTGCCGGGTAACGGGTACCGGTCTGCTTTTCGCATAAAAATCCTTTTGCACACTTTGCAGCATGCAGCATGGGAGCATGAGGCATACAGCAAGGAAGCCGCTTGCATAAAATGAGCACATTAGCCTAAAAGCAGGCAGCATAAACTGTGCACAACTCCAGCGTCAGCTCACTGCTGGGAGCAGAAGGTGTTGCACTGGGCAAAGAAATAAATAAAACCTACACAAAGGAATGCCAGTTGAGATAAAAGACTAAATACCCTAGCAGATAACTAAGAAATGTATAACTAATACTAATATTCATAATACTAATACTTATAATCATGATCCTATATTATTATGCTCTGAGATTACTACAGTTTAAGTTTCAAAATTTAATCTTAACAAAATTTCAACAAGAATAAGAAATAGTAGATAGATAGTCAATGCATACGGCTTTAACCAAAAACCTAATGGATTAAAAATATAACATATAAATTACTTATTTATTACATTATTTATTTTCATTTTTTATCATATATTTTAATCTATTTGTATAGACTTCTTTTTTTTAATAATGAGGGGACCTAATATAAAAATAATTTAAATTATTTTGTTATAATATACTATTTAAAAATAATTTCGGTATTCTAATTTTATTAGTTTTGATATTTGTATTAGATTTTATGAACTTGCCTTTTTTATTAATGATGGGAATTTGTTTAATAAATGAATAATATACAAAATAATTTCATTATAAAAAATAAAAATTAATCAGTATATTTTATATTGAAAATTCTAGTAATTATTACTCTAGAGAGCTGACAAATTTTATCCTTGCCGAGTAGGACACATATCGCAAATTTATCATACCCCTTTGGTTCGCTTCTAATGGGTACTCGACATAAAAACAAAAGGCGCTCCACTGCATGCAGCTGTTTTTATGTAACTGCCAGTGGTGCTGCAGCTTGTTGCATATGCATGCCTAGGCGTAATGCGTGAAGTCTGGACAGCGCAATGGCAACAACAACATAATTGCTATATAAACTGAATGAGCTTGCCTGACTTCTGACTGTCTGCGTGTGTGTGTGTGTGACTCTCTCTATCTCTCTCTCTCACTCGCTCTCTGTCTCCTTTTGTTGCTTTCTGTTGTGTTTATATTATTTTTGGCATGCGCCGGGAATTGTTTTTGGCTCACGTAACTAGCAGCAAAAGCGACTCGTGCTCATAATAAAACTTTTACTATGACAGTAAAATTTTAATAAAATCACTGCAAAACTACAAAGCACTTGAGCTACAATACGTACCAGACCAGACCGAGACCGAGACCAAGACCAGACCAGACCCTACCCAACAGCCATGTTCACTGGATGCCCGAGACTTACGAGCAGAGTGTATTAGTCTTAGTCGTGTTGTTGCTGTCGTTAACTGAAGAGAGTCGTATTAAGTATAACGCAATTGAAGAAAGCAAAAGACATAGAGAAAACACTTTGTAACATACTTGAAGTATTTATAGATAAAAAGGCATTAGATGAAAACTAGTATAAGTATCTATTAAGTAATTCAAAGCTTACAAGATAGACAAACAGTTTTTATTTAGAATTAATATTTGCAATATACTATTACATTTGTAAATTTTAATATTATTGATTAAATTTTGTGCATATTAAGCCTAATAGTTTTGTAAATAATTAATATTTCAGATATTAAGTTCGTACACTTGGCTTGTGCTTTTCTTTAATTTAAATATTAATACTCTGAACCAATTCATTTAAATTATATTTTAATTAATCAAAATTTAATTTATTCATGTTCATTTATTTATGATTTAACATTCAAATCAATCAATTAATTTAAATATTGATGGCTGCCCTCTGTATTGGGGTAACTTTACGAACGAGCACCTCGTACTTGCTCAACTGTCTCAGAGGGAAGCTCTCGTCTTGGATGAAGCAAAGCCTTTTTGACAATAGGAGAGTGCCGATAAAAATGCCACCATCGGTCTTAGCACGACAAACGTAGACGCGCTCTTCTTGAACGGTTGTGCCAACAGATACAGCATGCCTCTCTCTAAACCCATCGTAGCTGCGCACCCAGTTATAGGTGAGGGTCGCATTGGATATCAACAGCTCGTAGTAGGGGGCCTTCTTACCGAATGAATCGTTGTTAAAGGTAGCGTATCCAGTCTCGGCTTTAACACGTGCTGGCAGCACTGAGCTGGCGTAATCTGTGCGTCCCACATAGCTGTAGTATCCATCTGAATCGATGCCTCCGAGCACAGCATTTTCAGGGAAATTCGCGGACTTATCGGAAACCACCCAGTTATCCGTAGTGTCGTACGAGCCGCAATGAATAGTGCCCAGCAGCTGGGCAAAAATCAATGCACACGCGACGAGTTTCATTGATGAATACATCGTACAAACTGCTCGATAACAAATCGAAGACTGTTCTGATCATGTGGAGTGGGCCTCATACTTATATATGCTTCTGATTATTATTATAGGGAATCACTCGCACTGATAAGCACTAGTGCTATAAATCTTCATGGATGTGGGGGTTAGCCTTTTGCATTAAATATAGATAAGGTTTGAGAATATTTCGTAAAATATTTCGTAATACTATTAAATGTCACTTAACTACTAAATGACTAACTTCTAGGGAACTAAAACAGAGTTAACCGAAGGTTTTCTGATAACAATGGAGGGCTGTCAGCAAACACACAAGTTCAAGTAATACATATAGACATTTTACTGAGAAATTGTGACCATTTTTTATTATCTTTATACATAGTTTTTGATTTATTAAGTAGTATGATCATGTTTTCTATAATGGAATTACATTATTCGCTTGAAATAGATCAATATGTATTTTTATTTTTGAATTGCACGTCGATACTTATGTTTATTTATACATATATATATATGAGAGGTATTTACCTCTTAATAAGTCTTTAAGCTCCCCTTAGTACCCAGTTCTGTACAATGCACGTATAAATCAATTGCGCCACGCCTACCTAAAAAATACATATAAATCAAATCAATCCCTGATGTAAACCTAACCCAACCGAAAAACAAAAGCCGCCCAAATAATAAAGCCAATGGAAAAACCAGAAGCAAAAATAAAAATCTCCACAAAAGAGAAAGGAAACGCTTGAATTAATTTGCATTATTAAATCGTTCGCATAAATCGTACAGCAGCAGTAACAAATACAACAATGGAATAACAAAAAAAAAAAAAGCAATACGATAATTAAAACATCCCCAAGGAGCTTGGAACTAATTGCCGCAGCCCTTTGGCAGTTGGCGGCGAGTGTTATAAATAAATAAATGAAAGCCAAACCAAGCCAATCCAAACCGAACCGAACCAAAACGAACCAAAGTCAACGCCATGCATAAATTATAAGCAAGTGTGGCTCTGGCGCCTTAATTTATGCTTTAAAATTTCATATTAATAGCGCACAGCATGAAAATTGGCTCAGCGAACAGAGAGGCAGCGAGAGAAAGAGACAGAGCGAAAGCAGCCAACAGCCAACACAGCGAGGGCAATCGTGAGCGCGAGAAATTTGTTGCAAACGCACTAATTCAATAATTTATGCACATTTTTTACCACATGAACGCATTTGGGCAACTGCAAGGCTTCCCGAATCCTTTTTCTGACAATTTTAATTAAAATTAAGTAAATGGCAATGCAAAACGGCTTCAATTTATATATACATACCCTGTAATTTTAATTGTTTTCAATTTTAATTTGTATATACAACAAATAATTTATAATACGTTTTACATTTATATTTAAATATAAAAAATATATTTAAAATATCATTTAGTAAAATTAGTTTTGCATACACTCCTCTGCAACATTACAGGGTATACACATGCATATAAATAATATTCAATCCAGGGCAATGAAGGCATATTGAGTGAGGTACTTTTGGCTTGGCGTGCGTTTCAAATTGAGCGGATTAAGTTTAATTACAATTTTTCGCTTATGGTGGGTGGGACACAGAGCCACAAGCACACGCACACGCACACACTTGCACATGACATACGCAGAAGGGACGAACATGCAGCAGCTCCTTTGTGCAATGCATTTGTAAGGGTTGTTCCTTTTGTCTGGCGCATAAATGAAAAGTAAACCTTTATGCAACACTCTGCGGGATGCAATGCAATGCAGACCGAGACCAAAAGCAGAACCGCATTTAAAGCCGAAACCCCCCTGAATCAACCCCCTCACACAGACCCAGACACACACACACCCAGGCGTTCCATATCTGTGGAAAATTCGTTACGCACACGTGTTCAATGTCGGCCTAGCCGACGTCCCACATCAGCTCCTGTTGCGCTCAGTGCTTATAATTGGATTTAGTTGTCGTTAAGTTTGGACTGCTTATTGTTTTGCGTCCGCTCGTGCATATGTTGGTTGTCATTATTGGCACCCAACAGCCAAGGCGACGATGCCAAGGCAATCTTCCAGCCAGCATCGCGTGCTATG